TGTTCCTAGGGCGAACGTCTTAATTACGACTCGAGCTAGTAACGGCGAAACTCAAACTGAACCAAGTCCATTATCAAGTCAAACGCCATACCACTTGGCCAAATCTCACCATCTTGACAGCGGTCTTTAAAGTTCTTTCTTTGTTCATATTTATTTCCTAGGATCCGTGGCGGAAGAGTGTCAATACGCTACGGTATGAGGCCTTGGCGGTCAGTAAGACGTGTCACTCGGCGCTTGAAGCTGATCATTCGCGGCAAGCCGCATTGGATTTACCCTCGGCATGGACGCTTGATGGTGCACTACAAACGAAAAGGACGAAGAATTCACATTCGACGGGGACGGGCGAGGGTCTGGTACAGAAGAAAGTGGACAGGTTTCAGACGAGGCCGAGCGACACACGTGAAGATGCGACTCAGGTATAGAGGCAGGTGGAGGTACGTCAAGAGTTGGCGCGGTAGATGGACTATACGCTATAGGGGCAAGAGAAGAAGGCTCACACTTCGAGGTCGTGGATTTGGAATCCGCATCAGAGGACGCTTGAAGTACGTGCCCGCTGGAGGAGGAACATTGCAGATACGTTACGGGAAAATGTGGAGACGGGTGAGGAAATGCTGTAACAAGCTGCGTGCTGTGTTACGCGGACGTCTTCGACGAATCCGGCTTCGGTACGGGAAAGCGAAGATGCAGGGAAGAAAGGGTTGGACAATGATACGAAGAAAATGGAGCGGCCCATTTGGTTTCCGAATACGAGGTATGTGGTGATATAAATTTATGAAATTTGCGATATTAACCGTGTCCAGTGGGAGATGTTTGCCTACTGGTTGTCTCCATTTAAGGTAGCTTTAGGCTCACAGGGGCTCTTGTTTAATAGCGTTGTCCACTTTATGGGAGATGTAAGCTTATTTGAGGCATCCACCAGAGGACGGAGTCGGTGTATTAAAGGTGTTAAAGTATGGATTGTGTCTGTTTAGGGAATGTATCTTCTTATATGTTTTATGTTCCAGACTCTCCTGCTGCACAGTCTTCTAAACAACACGCAAATGAATCGCGCGTCTCCAACTTAGCTGACTCGAGTCCTCTGAACGAGACGTCGGCTATGTCAGACTCAGTTGCCTCCAGTCCACTGTCCAAGTCAATTGATCCCAGCTCATTCACCGATATAGCTTTAGTGAACGCGTCTAAATCCATCGACCCCAGTTCATTCACCAGCACATCAGCAGAGCGATACGTATATGACTCCCCTCCCACAGCCGCTGATCAGGAAACACGGGCGCTGTCAAAAGCCAGTGATCGCCATCGGAAGACTGGTGATAAGATGAACATGACTGACGATTTGTTCGACAATTGAAAGCGGAGTAATATTCTCAAGGAGGATATAATATTCATAGCTCTGTTTTGTTTTCGGGTCAACATTAACCAGTTTTGTTAGCAATTTTAAACTTGAAAAGCCAATAAGGAAAATTGTAACTTATTTCAGTTACACCTGACCTAAAATGGTGCGCACCCAAAATTTAAAGGGACAGTTTCCTGGTTGATATATTATTTTTAACAAATATGGCAGGGAGCTTTCCATAAACTTGCTTTATTATACTGCAAAGTAAGAACGATTAAAAAAGAAGTGTCACGTGAAAAAAAGATGAAATTACCATTAAAAAGATTCAATTTTTCACGAGTACTTGCCTCTGTTCATGTGTCTCCAGTAGTCCAGAGAGAGCCACCTTTTATCTCTTGCAAGGGCCTCGCCTTTAAGAGGGACAGGGGACTCTGGGGAGGAAAATGTTTCAACAAATTACCGCGGCATGCATCAATACATACTCGTAAAGCGTAGATGTCGTCTCCTTAAATAAGGCTATGGCAGTCTGATGTAAGGTCTGGAAGATTGGAACCAAGAATTCGTCAGAAACTTTTCTTTATTTATATCGTTGATTTTCACTGTCATGCCATCAAAATAAATATCATAACCATGCAATAAACAAATTCAAGAATCTGGAATATGATAGATGATTGATATAATTTATAAACAACATCACCAAGATTTAGGTCTATGCCGTTTTTATTCTCGCTTTATTCGGAAAAGTGATTCACCCAAGTATGGAGACGGCATGCTGGTGCCCATTCAGCTGGGCACCAACATGGCCGCTTTAAAGTAAGAGAAACATCTGTCATCGAGGTTTGCAAATCAAATGAAATCGAAGAGTTATTACTTTAGAGCTTCGACACATTGAAATTGGTGCTTCTTCTAGTACAAGAACTGTTCAGTGAGCAAAAACAGGCGATAACTCGTGTTTGGACTTACGCCGGAGAGCATCCTCAAGGCCGTTACTATAATCCATGTCTTGCAGCCTGGAAATTCAAGCGTGCTCTATTCGTTTCAAATTGAAGAAAAACGTTGTAAAACGTCAAGTTCTTAGAAGGTCTAGAAGTGCCAGGCTTTCCTAAATCGGTTCCAGACCTCGCACCAGCTGACCGCGTATCTAAAATTCAAAATGGCCGCCACAACACCGGCAGGTCACGATCGATGAAGGTAAGTTCATCATCTTTAGTTCATTTTCTAAACGGAAGTGAGGGTTTCTTTTGAATCGGCCTCAATGACGAATGCGTCTCTAAGTCCAGTTTAATTTGGAACCCTGAAAAAANATAACCAACCGCATCATTTGTTTGTCTTAGGTATCGTAATCGGAAAGGAACGATCGTATTGCGCTACCGAAAACGATGGCACTATCTCAAGCGCACACAATTCCTCGTAAAGCATGAGTGGCGTCGTACCAGACGATACAGAGGTAAGATCCGAGTCTTTGTAGCAGGACGATACCGGCTAATCAGGTTCAGGCACGGAAGGCCAGCGTATCGTGTAGGGCGGAGGTGGAGACGAATCTCTTACAGATACCGAAATGGACGAAGAAGCCGTCGCCAGCGCCGCCGACGCTTCAGACGAAAGAAGCGACGCATTCGGCGATACAGACGACGAAACAGACGCAGAATCAGACGTTTACGGCGATACAGACGTCGCAACAGCCCGTTCAAGATCTATTACCGCGGTAAGGCAAGAAAGATCTTCAAGTGGAAAGGTAGATTAACATTCCGCCTCGGAGGACGGCGAAGGAGAATCAGGTGATGGAAAAGCTAAATTAGCATTATTTTCCTTACTCTCGTAACCTGATGAATGCTTGGTTATTAATTTTTTAAGGAGAAATTAGTTGCTTATGAAAACTTGTTCCTAAACACTTGGTGGAGATCACCGCTTCGTTATACGATACCAAATTAGCATCTGAGGCTTGGGATACTTTATTAAATGTAAAGTTTACAATACCGTTGACTTTAAACCTTGTAAAATTCGCTTTTATAACGTAATATAAGTTTAGTTTTCTATGAGAAGATTTGATACTACGTTTAAATGACAGTGGCAAAGGTAAGTAACGTCTAGCGTGTAATTAGCTGTTATTTTTATTCGTGGTGGCGGAAGAAAAAAATAAGGAACAAGTGGACCGCATGTGAAACCATTTTAAAAGGTTATAGACCTTTATAGTGTATGTTGTACATGGGTTTTACTCTTGTTAAGCACACCTTGTTAAATCTATGGCTGATCTATCTTTATTTCATTTGACAGGTACAAAAATGGAAGGTTCCATTATTTTTACAGAAGAGCTTGGCGACGGGTGCCAAAGAGGAGATATCGGCTCTTTGCCCGCGTGAGGAGAAGATGGCGGAAGATAGTAAACCGCAGACGAAGACCTGTGGTTCGTGTAGGCGGAAGATACTCCGGAATCCGCATCACGTCCAAAAGGATCTTTATTCGTAGAGGACGGCGTTGGCTACGCCTCAAACGACGCAGACGTGTAAGACGGAGAAGGCGGCCTTGGCGACACGGAAGGCGGACCTGGCGAAGACGTCACGCTGTTATGCGTTTAAGGGTTGGAAGAATATGGAGAAAAGTCTACCAGAGGCGTGGAAAATTCGTTTTCCGCTATGGACGCAAATCCTATAGATTACAGTAAGAAAAAGCTTTGTACAAGTTTCTGAATTGTTGTTAGCTTCGTGACCATGTGTTAAAGGCTCGAATCTATCAAAACAGGGGTGATTTGCATGGACAAATCTGCCGCTTATAAAAAATCTCTCATGATTTGACTGGTATGAAATCCTTTCTGATTACTTGTTTGTACTTTCCGATTGGTTCTAGTGTCTTTTATTGAGGATCTAGTGATTGGCTCTTTTCATTTGCTTTTTTGGTGTTGTTTGATCTCAAATTGAAATGGAATCTCGCTGCTTGTACTTTCGATTTTCTCTTTGGTAGAATCAGACGGGGTGTAGTCAGCTACCGGCATGGAAGAAGATGGCACCGCGTTAGGAACGTTCGAAGGAAACTCCGAATTCGCGTGAAGGGATGTTACAGACATGTAGTTAGAGTACGCAAGGCCCTTCGTATTGTTTACAAGAGGAGAACGAGACCAATTCGATTCCTATACGGCAAATTAAGATTCTTTTACAAGAAACGATGGAGACGCCTCTCAACGCGCCGTGCTCGTCTTGCCAAGAGAAGACGAAAGCGGAGGAGGTTATTACGGTTCTGGAGGCGGTTTAGGCGCAGGAAGCAAAGACGCAGACGCAGATACGGACTGCGCAATGGCAGGATTGTTTTCAAATATGGTGGAAGATTCAGAAGAGTTCGAAGGAAGGGCGGGCGACTAAGGTTCCGTGTTGGTACCAAGAACTATGGCCTTAGGTAAGTGACTATTATCATAATAGTAGTTGCTAAACCAATCAAAAGGGCATCACTTTGATCAGTCATTACAAAATTATCAAGCACAAAGTTGAAGAGAATAAAGCAAGTCCTCTTGACTTGATTTTGACTTGATTATTCGCTTCTAAGTTTACAAAACTAATAGATAATCACCAATAAATTGTGGAAAGGGAATTGAGGTAAGAAGCTCTTTCTACTATAGGCTAGCTCTTTGTCTCCACTTGTCAAAAACCAACATTTCTTACCAGCAAGCAGAATTAAATCAGGCGTTTACCTGGACTGAAACAAAAGTTGAAATAAAACTGCTGTCGAAAGGTAATTACAAGCAGTGCAGTGTGAAATCTGTAGTATGAAGAAAGCTGTATGACCGCGCGATGCGGTTCCAGCCAAAGAGGCCCACATTCCACGCTTGCTCATCGATGTTTAGAGCATCGGGCTAGATCACGGAGGGTCGTGAGTTTAAATCCTATCTGGAACTCGGATTTTTTTCCGAGTTTTTATTTCATGCTATCACTATCATTTAATACAACCGTTTGTTAAGTTTAACGTAATACAGGGGCTGTTCCTAGGGCGAACGTCTTAATTACGACTCGAGCTAGTAACGGCGAAACTCAAACTGAACCAAGTCCATTATCAAGTCAAACGCCATACCACTTGGCCAAATCTCACCATCTTGACAGCGGTCTTTAAAGTTCTTTCTTTGTTCATATTTATTTCCTAGGATCCGTGGCGGAAGAGTGTCAATACGCTACGGTATGAGGCCTTGGCGGTCAGTAAGACGTGTCACTCGGCGCTTGAAGCTGATCATTCGCGGCAAGCCGCATTGGATTTACCCTCGGCATGGACGCTTGATGGTGCACTACAAACGAAAAGGACGAAGAATTCACATTCGACGGGGACGGGCGAGGGTCTGGTACAGAAGAAAGTGGACAGGTTTCAGACGAGGCCGAGCGACACACGTGAAGATGCGACTCAGGTATAGAGGCAGGTGGAGGTACGTCAAGAGTTGGCGCGGTAGATGGACTATACGCTATAGGGGCAAGAGAAGAAGGCTCACACTTCGAGGTCGTGGATTTGGAATCCGCATCAGAGGACGCTTGAAGTACGTGCCCGCTGGAGGAGGAACATTGCAGATACGTTACGGGAAAATGTGGAGACGGGTGAGGAAATGCTGTAACAAGCTGCGTGCTGTGTTACGCGGACGTCTTCGACGAATCCGGCTTCGGTACGGGAAAGCGAAGATGCAGGGAAGAAAGGGTTGGACAATGATACGAAGAAAATGGAGCGGCCCATTTGGTTTCCGAATACGAGGTATGTGGTGATATAAATTTATGAAATTTGCGATATTAACCGTGTCCAGTGGGAGATGTTTGCCTACTGGTTGTCTCCATTTAAGGTAGCTTTAGGCTCACAGGGGCTCTTGTTTAATAGCGTTGTCCACTTTATGGGAGATGTAAACTTATTTGAGGCATCCACCAGAGGACGGAGTCGGTGTATTAAAGGTGTTAAAGTATGGATTGTGTCTGTTTAGGGAATGTATCTTCTTATATGTTTTATGTTCCAGACTCTCCTGCTGCACAGTCTTCTAAACAACACGCAAATGAATCGCGCGTCTCCAACTTAGCTGACTCGAGTCCTCTGAACGAGACGTCGGCTATGTCAGACTCAGTTGCCTCCAGTCCACTGTCCAAGTCAATTGATCCCAGCTCATTCACCGATATAGCTTTAGTGAACGCGTCTAAATCCATCGACCCCAGTTCATTCACCAGCACATCAGCAGAGCGATACGTATATGACTCCCCTCCCACAGCCGCTGATCAGGAAACACGGGCGCTGTCAAAAGCCAGTGATCGCCATCGGAAGACTGGTGATAAGATGAACATGACTGACGATTTGTTCGACAATTGAAAGCGGAGTAATATTCTCAAGGAGGATATAATATTCATAGCTCTGTTTTGTTTTCGGGTCAACATTAACCAGTTTTGTTAGCAATTTTAAACTTGAAAAGCCAATAAGGAAAATTGTAACTTATTTCAGTTACACCTGACCTAAAATGGTGCGCACCCAAAATTTAAAGGGACAGTTTCCTGGTTGATATATTATTTTTAACAAATATGGCAGGGAGCTTTCCATAAACTTGCTTTATTATACTGCAAAGTAAGAACGATTAAAAAAGAAGTGTCACGTGAAAAAAAGATGAAATTACCATTAAAAAGATTCAATTTTTCACGAGTACTTGCCTCTGTTCATGTGTCTCCAGTAGTCCAGAGAGAGCCACCTTTTATCTCTTGCAAGGGCCTCGCCTTTAAGAGGGACAGGGGACTCTGGGGAGGAAAATGTTTCAACAAATTACCGCGGCATGCATCAATACATACTCGTAAAGCGTAGATGTCGTCTCCTTAAATAAGGCTATGGCAGTCTGATGTAAGGTCTGGAAGATTGGAACCAAGAATTCGTCAGAAACTTTTCTTTATTTATATCGTTGATTTTCACTGTCATGCCATCAAAATAAATATCATAACCATGCAATAAACAAATTCAAGAATCTGGAATATGATAGATGATTGATATAATTTATAAACAACATCACCAAGATTTAGGTCTATGCCGTTTTTATTCTCGCTTTATTCGGAAAAGTGATTCACCCAAGTATGGAGACGGCATGCTGGTGCCCATTCAGCTGGGCACCAACATGGCCGCTTTAAAGTAAGAGAAACATCTGTCATCGAGGTTTGCAAATCAAATGAAATCGAAGAGTTATTACTTTAGAGCTTCGACACATTGAAATTGGTGCTTCTTCTAGTACAAGAACTGTTCAGTGAGCAAAAACAGGCGATAACTCGTGTTTGGACTTACGCCGGAGAGCATCCTCAAGGCCGTTACTATAATCCATGTCTTGCAGCCTGGAAATTCAAGCGTGCTCTATTCGTTTCAAATTGAAGAAAAACGTTGTAAAACGTCAAGTTCTTAGAAGGTCTAGAAGTGCCAGGCTTTCCTAAATCGGTTCCAGACCTCGCACCAGCTGACCGCGTATCTAAAATTCAAAATGGCCGCCACAACACCGGCAGGTCACGATCGATGAAGGTAAGTTCATCATCTTTAGTTCATTTTCTAAACGGAAGTGAGGGTTTCTTTTGAATCGGCCTCAATGACGAATGCGTCTCTAAGTCCAGTTTAATTTGGAACCCTGAAAAAAGTTAGGAAAAGTCTTGATGCTGTTCTCCAGCTAATACTCTTGGAGATCTCCATGGTTCGATTTGATCAAGTGCTTGTTCCCGTTTGTTTAATTTTTTGTTTTTGAAAAAATGACATAGTCACTCTCTTCGGCGGCTGTGGATGGACTTGAAAGGCCTTTTTATAGAGAAGTTAATTGAATTATAGAACACAGAAAGAGCTGCAATGATTTTATTTCGAGAGAAATACTAGAAATGTTTACCTTCTGACAGTTTCATAACAAACGAGACTTAAAGTCCTGAATGATCATCGCAGTTATATACACAACTTTTAAAAGCAGTTGTGAAATTGAAGCCTCAAAACAATTTAAACCCATAACCAATTCGATACCGGTGCAGTGCTCTACTAACTGAGCCACCAAGCAAATCGGGAGCTGGTGATCACGTTGTGAGTTCGTAATATACCCGTAGATGGTGAGAAATGCAAGTGAATGACTCTTTTGACCTTTCTCCGCAGTTCAAATATACGATCTTTCAAATATTCACTTTTTTTCTTCACCATCTACGGGTATATTACGAGCTTACAACGTGACCAGCTCCCAGTTGGCTTGATAGCTCAGTTGATAGAGCACTGCACTGTTATCGAATTATTTTCACGCTTAATTTTCACAACTGCTTAAGCTGTGTGAATAACTGCGATGGTCAATCATGACTTTATATCTTTCTCCGCAGTTCAAGTATATGATCTTTCATATATTCACTTGCAAATGAGACTTAGGGGTAGGGTACATAGAGAAGCTTAAAATTGTGGAAGCTAATTTCCAGAGCAAAAGGTTAAACCAAAACGTACCTCTGTGTTTACCCCTTTAGGACTTGAGGCAAGATCCTTGCCTAAGAAACCTTTCCGTTACGTTTTGAGAAGCGCTTTCCCTTGTCTGTTTCTCTAGATTTCTTCCAAAGGTTTTCCTGCATGGATCTTCCTTTATTCACTGGCCTTATGGTCTGTAGTATTAGTCTTCTCACGACGCGATCCAGCCGAGGTCATTCTGGTTTCAGCACTTGACGGTCAGTAGTTTCATAACAATATTTTAATCCAAGCATTTCCAGACGAATCACAGAGTTTACTAAGCTGCTAAACGGGCATGATTACTCACTGGAAAGGAGCCTTGTTTAAATGGGGTTAAGAGGAGATTAGCTCATAAAGCCCAGGGGTTAATGGAGTGGGGTAGTATGAATGGTGAATTTATGGTACGTAAAAAAGGTTCAGTGAGACAGGCACAGCGGTTGGTACAGACAATGAAGCCCACGGGTTAATGGAGTGGGGTAGTATGAATGGCGAATTTATGGCTCGTAAAAATGTTCAGTGAGACAGGCACAGTGGGTGGCACAGACAATGAAGATGTGTTTGATCAATCGTTGTTTTATCGGTATCTACCCTAGAGTTACTTGTTTCTCGTGTAGCAGTCTTTAAACAAACAAAATCCGGTGGATTAAAATCCTTTTTATGTTTTCCTTGTAAAGCCTGCTTGCATTATAAGATTGTCACGACCTACCCGTTAGCTTTTTTCAAGTTTAGTCATATCCCGCTGAGAACACCCGTCAATGGTCAACGGTCGTAACTTAACCCCTTTGCGCACAACAAATTCATAATAACAATTATTATTATTATAACCCCCATGCATGGAGAGATATAAAATAAGAAGAAAACTACAGAGGATGAAGGGCACTTGTGAAATATTACAGAATGCTTTATAAAAACAAGAATAATGTAAGATTCTTGCCTTCAAAAGGCGATCGTGATTTTTATTTGAAATATCTTGTAGATGCAGACTTTTTTACTTCATTTTCTTGAGGGGGGAAGCAAAGCAGGTGGTACAATCTAGTAATCAGTGGTATAATCTACTACTGAGTGAAATAAGAAGTCGTTTTCGAAAGGAACAATATTATTCCCTGTGTATAGTACAAAATGTGGGCTTTAGTGGCTATCGCCATACGTGAAAACCTGGCGAATAATCTATTCTATATCTTTTATAACTAGAATGGCCGTGATAAGTAAATTTGCAAGCTCCCCGTTGAAGGGTATGGGTGAAATAAAGGTCACCATTACAACGCAAAGGACATCAAGAACAACTGCGTTAGAATGATAGAACTTTTACAAAATCCTTCGGAGTTGTAAAATTCTTTGAAAGTTAACTAATAGCTGATATTTGATATATTGAAAAAGCTGAGTATAAAGATGATGTGTTATGTTAGTTAATAATATGTTTTTAACTGATAACTCAAACCAAAGAAGTTTCAGGAAAGCTCTAAAATTGGAAACAAGTTGCCACTTTAAAACAGGATCAGATGGTTAGAGATTATCTTGAAGGGACTCGGGGCTGTTGGCTTTCGACGATTCAAAAATCAATATCCCAGTGTCCTAGTGTGTGAAAAGTTCGTTTTGTTTTTCGTGTTTTAAAGACGAAACAACTGATACACGTTTTGTAATTAAGCTCCAACCCGGCTGACAAAAATGGCAATTAAAATTTACTAGCTCAGCAATTGTTCCTTTACAGTTCCAAGTGGTTTACTGCGTTGTGGCGTAACTTTGTTGTTGGCGATAGAAAAAAAAAGGGAAAAAAAGTGGCATTGAAGGGACACATGTTGTTAGTGTAACCGTTTTGTTCTCGCACAGCAAGTGGCTGTAGATTTTTTAAAAAATTTTTTGGAGTTCTGGCCGTCTTCCAGTATTTTCTAAGTAGAACTTAGAAAGAGATGAGAAATTCATATCAGTTTGGTAACCTCTCCTCTCTGAGATTTTGTTTCGTTAAAATCATCGCCTTTGTCTCAAATGTTGTCTTGACAGGTATCAAGTTTGCCAAGTATATATACAAATATTTTTCTTTAAACTAAATTAAAAAGAAATTGCCTTTTCTATATGCTCCATAGGAAATAAAACAAACATCTTATTTTATATTTTACTATAAAAGATGGCTTTTCCTCTGCAACTAACGGCTTGCTTTTCGTAACAAGTAAGTAATTCCTGTGAACAAAGTTTAAAATGACGTTTACGCTCTGTTCGTGTTAAAGATATTATTTGACGTTTTGCCATGAATTTACCATTGTTCCATCAATTAATAAGGTTACTGTCAATGTGAAGCAGGTATTATATCATTTTATTATACTCCACTAAAAACCGTGAGAGCTATTTTAACTTACCGTACTTACTAAATCTCAACTGTAATGATGGAATTGCTGACAAAACTGAAGCGACGTGCGTTGACAAAAACACAACACATCAAAGGTTTCTAGTCTTATGACTCGTATGTTTAGGATCGAGTTTGGTAAATTTAACGGGTTTTAGACAAGAAGTTTGCCTTGTACCTGCCCAAGTTTGGATTTAATATCATAAACAAAGAGCAAAATCAAGTGATGAATAAATGCATAGGAATGTCTGAACGTATTAATCTCGCGAGACAAGAATCTTGGTCTTTTGTCTGGAATTCCCTTATGGGTAAGGATCGTCCTTAATTCGGGCGACCCCGGCATGAGGGTCTTCTTTCTACTCCTGTAAGTACAAATGATTTGATAATTCTTAGTATTTTGCTATCATTTATCTTAACAGCTTTATTTGCTTGTGATCTTTTCGAAGCTCTTCCATAGTATTACGTTTAGTCACTACACTGTGCGATGCAAGTCTTGTAAGTTCGAGTTTTATTAACTGCGTTCTAACTTCATCTCGAAAACAACCTTTCTGTGTTTAGTTAAAGTAGTATTCTTTATTATCAGATAAGAAAAGCTAACAAAAAAATCCAACGATATACAAATATTTGATATATACTAAGCAGAATCGAAGGTTATGGTTTCCAGTTACTTGTGGCCTTAAAGCTTTGTAATTCAGGTATGAAACAAATTGATTTTCATCTCTAGGGTTAAAGCCAAATTTTAATCATTTATGACGAAAATTAAATTTTTCGTTCTTGCACTGAGATATCTCGAGGCACTTAAAGTCAATTGCCTTCCTTATGTAGTTATCCCTGCATCGAACACAAAATGCTGAAAGGTATATAAAAAAACCGGGACTGCTTTTGCTAAAACTAGAAGGAAAGCATGTCCTGATACCACGGATTATATCTCGAAGGCAATTCAGACGATAGCGTAGCCTATTTCTGACCAAAACGATATTTGAAAATATGATAGTATTCTTCAGTTTTTGTTAATGAAATTCTTGCTGACTCGTATAGAGGCCTTTGTGTTAGATATTCACACCAAAGAATACATTCTGTGAATGCATTATATGCATCTGAAATTGTTGTTAATTCAAACGGTTTTTTTTCGCAAGGTTTCCTCGAAGACATGGTAGGTATCGCATAATGTCTGGAGTTCACAGTAGATAAAACGCACAAAAACCATCAGAAGTTTTTCACTTGTGTTTAAAAGCAGATAGTTATTAGTTATCTAAAGGAGGGTGATTTAAGTAAATATTCAACGAGAATCAGAAGTACTCCACAGAGTTTATAGTTACTGAAATGTAGTACAAGTTTGCTTTACCATTCGTGTTCAATGACGTGCAGTTGCTTTATTAATGAGAACATAACGGTCAGCTCATGTACATGATATTATCTGCAAGATATCGATTACGTATTTTTGCTCAACGAGTAATGCTGGAAACCCGATATCAAACCCTAACAAGTGGCGAGAGTAATATTACTGCATCGATTCCAGTTGTTTTAAGTTCGGGTAAGATGTTTTTAGACACATGCTATGATTCTATTGGACGGCGTGTTAGCGTGATATGCAGTTGATACACGTCCAGTGGATTTATTTTCGTGGTCTGCAGGTTATTTCTACGTACCAGCTATAGAAACAAAAACTTCAACACAGAACCAAAGTCATCTTAGCGTGATCAAAAGTTATTTTCCCTTCAAAATATCAATACAAATGCAATAATGCAGGAATTGAGAATAAAGAGCCTTATCACATTTGGTCCGGTAAATTACCAGAATCAACAATCTCAAGGGTGGAAAAAAATACCGTGCGCCGATTTCTGAAAGAAAACTAAGGAACAATTGATGGCTGTTATCACTAAAGGGTCCTAAAGCTACTGGCAGGTAGCATATTAAAAAAATAAACAAGTAAACTGGTGTTAAGATTTTATATAACCTTGGCCGGACAATCCGTAAATTATCCACTTGACTGAGGATTGAAATTCATTTACCATTTTATCACGCAACGATTTTGTTGAAAATCTCCGTCAAAGTCATTGTGTTGAAATGAAGCTGACTTGTTCTATAAATCAAACAAAAGGTTATCAAAGGCTGGTGTCCATGATGTACCCCCTCCCACGAATCGTTACGATCTTCAGAAAAAGTTGGGCGATCCTTACGCCTACCAGTTTCCAAATGATCGCTACAAAATAAAA